TGGGGGTCGAACGACTCTTTCACAGGGGTCGCCTAAGACCATCGGAAAACACATTTCCAATGGGTAAAGAGCAGCTACTGTGTGCAGAAAGCAGCTACTGTGTTCAAAGCAGCTACTCTGTTAAAAGCAGCTACTGTGTTGAAAGCAGCAGTATTGGAGATAAAACGACACTTCATGAATTATAATTACTGGGTAAATAATTATAGGGTTGGGGGGTCACCACAACATGAGGAACTGTATTAAAGGGTCACGTCATTAGGAAGGTTGAGAACCACTGGAGTAGGAGGTCTTGCAAGGAGCGGAGAGGACGGTTTCGGTGGTATTTAGAGATAAGATCGGATATGTAAATTGGGGCAGTGTTGTGGATGGCTTTATATGTCATTATTAGTGTTTTGAATTTTATCCGTTGGGCATCTGGGAGCCAGTGGAGGGATCGGCAGAGAGGGGTGGATGACACTGACTGGAGGCCAATGGAGGGATTGGCAGAGAGGGGTGGAGGACACTGAATGGAGGCCAGTGGAGGAATTGGCAGAGATTGGGGGGGTGGAGGACACTGAGTGGAGGCCAATGGAGGGATTGGCAGAGAGGGGTGGCGGATACAGAATGGTTAGTGAGGTGGATGACTCTGGCCGCAGCATTCATGATAGACTGGAGGGGGGATAGCCTGCGGTGAGGTAGGCCAATGAGGAGGGAGTTACAGTAGTCGAGGCGTGATATAAGGGAGTGAATGAGTTGCTTAGTGGTTTCCGAGGTTAGGAACGGGCGTAACGTGGAGATGTTGCGGAGGTGAAGTCTACATGATTTTGTCAGCGATTGGATCTGGGGCTGGAAGGACAGATGGGAGTGACATGACATTTTGTACTCAGATTTCACTGCACACTGAGCTTCTCACAATGTGCATGAGAAGCTGCAGCAAGTCAGAGCCCACCTCATTTTCTGGCTGCAAGATGCCCAGCATCATCTAACTCAGACCTCACTGAGGAAGCTGAGAGGCATGCTGACAGATGTCTATGTGGAGAGATGAAAGAACTGGAAGGAGAGAGCCTGAGGCGCTGATTGATACAGCATGGAGGATTGGATCTGGTGGGAGGACATTGCCTAGGAGACGTCCCGATGCTCCCCCACCATTCTGCTACCTGGCCAAGTTTTCCAGTGATAGTTCCTGCATGCTGCAAACCCAGGAGCCGATCATCTGTTGTTCACTCCAGGTCAGGATCTGCAGAAATCTCTGCTGTACCGATCTCAGGTTCTCTCATTCCAGTCACAGTGCTTTTCAGAGGGCATTGGGCAGGCAGTGAGGAGGTGTTCCATCACCGCCTGATTTTGACTCTGTAATGCACCAATCTGCAATCCCGTTCATTGCATGTGGTTGCTGCATAGCCCCATTGAACCCAGCGGGCAGGTTTGGCCAGCGGTGACATTCCAAGTTAAAGATGTAGCAGCTGCAAAACAAGGCATTATGGCTGTAGAGTGCGAACAATTGGGTTGTTATTTTACAGATCAGGTGTGCTGCAGAGGGGTGGTAAAACCGCAGTCCAGCCACCTGTTTTGACCATCCATCTGAAAGAGACCTATTTCATGAGCCTAGTATTTCTAGTGCTAGGAGTTTGTCTTCTATAGGTTTACATACATGCAGACCTACCCAGGTTCAAAATTATTATTGGGCAGAATTAAAGCGGAGCTCCACCCAAAGGGGGAAGTTCCGCTTTAAGGACTGCTCCCCATTAAGGATTGGCACCTTTGGGGGGCAGGGGGGAGCGAGTACCTGAATTTGACAGGTACCTGCTCCCACTTCCGGTCCGATCGCCTAGGTGATGGAAAGCAGAAGGTGTCCTCCCTCCCTGTAGTCTTTTGGGACACGTGACAGGTGCCAGAAGACTACAGGACCATTCATGAAGTGCAGCGCTACTCGCACATGCGCAGTGGGCACTTGGCTGTGAAGCCGCAAGCTATTACAGCCGGGTGCCCACACTGAAGATGCCGGCCTCCTGGAATACAGGACAGCCGGTGAAACGGGCTGCGGGGGACACACCACAGGACCGAGGGACAGGTAAGTGGCTGTTTTTTTAAAAGTCAGCAGATACAGTTTTTGTAGCTGCTGCCTTTTTTTTGACAGTTTGGCTTTAAGTTTGGCTCTCCACACCTGTCCCAGTTTCTCATATGGCCCCTTAGAAAAATGAATTGCCCACCCCTGATCTAACTGTTCCTTAGCCACCTTTTGTATGCATTGGATTTGAGTTCTTTCAATCCTGGATGCTCTGCATCACTTGTGCACCTTACTTAGGGTGGTCTGCATGCAAACACAGCCTGCCTAGGTACCCTCACTCCAGACTGACACCCATCAAGGTGTTTTGATATTTGTATGTGAAGAAATGGTTCAACTTGACACTTGGCGCTCTGATCCCTAGATGTGATCCCATGGACCTTTCACAACCAGGACTGGAAAGAAATGGCGCTGCAACCCTCCTCAGACCGGGGGGAAATCCAACACTACACAAAAACATGAAAACAAAGCGGGCGCAAACACCTTAAAACCATTTGAGAAATGAGACAAAGGTTGAATAGGGGGGTGAACTCATGCGCTGCCAACTATAATCCCAGAAAATGAACCCGGCTTTACTATGATGTATAACAAACTGATAAAGAAATGGTGTAGCGCTGTGTATACTGTCATATACTTGAAATAAATAGTGAAAGGCAATACAAATTTAATAACAAAATGTGAATAAAGATTACTTGGTGATGTGACGCTGTATATAATCAATAAAAATGTAAATTCAAATATAAAGTGTACCGTAATACAAACAAAGATGGTGAATGCATAAAGAAGCTATAGAAAGAATGCCCATAGAGTAGTATGTTCCCAATATTCTTTATTAACAATATTTAGGAGGCTCAACACGCTGTGACGTCACGCCGCCGGAGCCACGAGCTGGTCCGGTGGCCATCTTAAATAAGGGTCAGTCTCTCCTTGGCTTATTCTTACCCCACTTCATTGTTAATAAAGAATATTTGGAACATACTACACTATGGGCATTCTTTATTAACAATATTTAGGAGGCTCAACACGCTGTGACGTCACGCCGTCGGAGCCAGGCTGGTCTGGCGGTCATCTTAAATAAGGGTCAGTCTCTCCTTTGCATATTCTTACCCACTTCATTGTTAATAAAGAATATTGGGAACATACTACCCTATGGGCATTCTTTATTAACAATATTTAGGAGGCTCAACACGCTGTGACGTCACGCCGCCGGAGCCATGAGCTGGTCCGGCGGCCATCTTAAATAAGGGTCAGTCTCTCCTTTGCTTATTCTTACCCCACTTCATCGTTAATAAAGAATATTGGGAACATACTACCCTATGGGCATTCTTTATTAACAATATTTAGGAGGCTCAACACGCTGTGACGTCACGCCGCCGGAGCCATGAGCTGGTCCGGCGGCCATCTTAAATAAGGGTCAGTCTCTCCTTTGCTTATTCTTACCCCACTTCATCGTTAATAAAGAATATTGGGAACATACTACACTATTGGCATTCTTTCTATGGCTTCTTTATGGAGCTATTGAGTTGCAGAGCCAGTGGAAGTTCTTTGCTGAAGGACACAGTACCCAGAGGAAGGGAATCCCTGTAAACAGGTTGCAGACCCAATCTATCCTAAAGGAGACCTCTGGAGATACAGTCTTCACCTACGTACCGCTGTGCTGCCATTTCCTACAAGGAGGCCCTAACCTACCGTACCTCCCAAGAGCCAGCCTACTGCTTGCATCAGGACTTGGGGCTCTTGAGAGGAGTACAGAGGCAAGGTTCTGCTATGTTTTCAGCACCGTGCTGTCTCCTCCCTTCAGCCATGATCTGGCTGCATTGCACAGAGGAGCACAGAGACCAAGTGATGATGTCACTGAGTAAAATAAGGTATGTAATGAAAATTGACAGACTATATTTAAAAATTTAATTAGCATGTTAATGAGGGGGAAAGGGGAGAATCAGGAAAGACAAAATATAATCAGATTAAGCTTCAATGCATCATATTGCCTTGCGGTCTAAGAGTATACAGCATGGTTCAGGAATGGACTTGCCAATAGTGGTGGGACTCACCTGCCTTGTGGGCTGCAGTATCAGGGCTGGCCAGCGGGTGTTCTCAACAACCAGAGGTGCACTTCGGCAATTAGCCATCACCTGGGGCTGATTGCAGGTGGTGTATTTAAGGGATGGCCAGACCTGCAGTCTGTGCCTTGGTGTGTGTTTTTCCATGGCCCCTGTATCTTGTAACCTGCATTCCTGTTCCTGTTTCTGCCTGACTTGTTGCCGACCCTGCCTGATCCTGACCTCTGCTGACTTCTCCTGTTTGATCCCTGGCTTGTGACCCTGACCATTCTCTGCCTGACCCCCTGTACCTACCTGTCCGTTAGTTGCTGTACCCGGCTCGTGACCTGACTACTCTCCGCCTGCTCCTGCTGTACCTACCTGCCCGATAGTTATCGACCCGGCCTGCCTGACTACGTTGTGCTCTATATGTGTATGTACCTGTGTATCTGTATCAGTTTAGGTTTGGGTTTGTTTCACCTTGTTGTATGTATTTGTGTTAGCTTGGGGTTTAGTGCACTGCGTTTGTTTGTATTGTTAGTCTCAATAAATTATATTATTTACCATATCTGAAGCCTGCGTTTCCCTGTGTCAGTCCACACACTTCTGGTCACACCCGCATCCCTGACAGCATGGTTCGGGGCTGCTTTGGCAACAGAGAGCTCAACCGTGCAAGAAAGGTGGCTCTTGTCATCTAAAATATCAAATCCGTTTCTTCACTTTGTATGAAGACTTCAGGCAAACACTCTAACTTCTCCTGTAGAGGATCCCAGTTTGGGGGCGTCTATGATTTACAGGGGAGTCTCCTCCATACAAGTGTCGGCATTCAACTTTCCATAAAGTGATAACTATATGAAAGGGACAAGAGATGTAAATGAGGGAGATTAATATTCTGTGTCCTCTATTCCTCCGTGCAGAGCGTTCTACCTTTCTATGTTGTAACGAAAATGAGCAAAATCCGCACTCCAACATGGGACAAACCCACCCCGGAGAATTATGTGAGATCCGCCCTGAACACTGTGGGCTTACAGACCAGAACCAACGGCCACCCGGCCCACGCCTTGTGGGTGAGTTAATGTGGACTCTATGCTGTGCCAGTTATGGTTTTGTTTCATGTGCATACTGTATAAGAACGCTGGGATATTTTGGGGGAGCATTTGCCAAAACACAGGGCCCTCTTTTCCACCAATTGTCTTGAAGCACTGGTTTTATTAAAGACTAAGTTCACCTTTAGGAACGTGTTACACCAGTATTTAGGCCAGGGGTGCAGCCCAAAACAAAATTGGAAAAAAAAAAATTATTTATTTTTTTTTTTTTTTTGGGGGGGGGGGGGGGGGGGGGGGATTTTATTTTTGTAATCATGCTTTTACACTTGGCAAACACATGCGGACAAATAAAATCTGGCATTCTGTTTACTGGACTTTTGTGTTTTATCTTCCCAAAGAAAAATCGGCCACTTTCACAATCATGCTTCATGTCATCCATTTCAGCACATGAAGGGAAAAATTTGAACCAAAATGTCTGATGAGCACGGAGAGCTTGCAGATGATTGTGGGGCTATTGTCAGATCTGTGGGGTGCAGATGATTGGTGGGGCTATTGTCAGATCTGTGGGGTGCAGATGATTGGTGGGGATTGTCAGATCTGTGGGGTGCAGATGATTGGTGGGGATATTGATCTGTGGGTGCAGATGATTGGTGGGGATATTGTCAGATCTGTGGGGTGCAGATGATTGGTGGGGATATTGTCAGATCTGTGGGGTGCAGTGATTGGTGGGGATATTGTGGTGGGGCTATTGTGGGGCATTGTCAGATCTGTGGGGTGCAGATGATTGGTGGGGATATTGTCAGATCTGTGGGGTGCAGATGATTGGTGGGGATATTGTCAGATCTGTGGGGTGCAGGTGATTGGTGGGGATATTGTCAGATCTGTGGGATGAGATGATTGGTGAGAATATTGTCAGATCTGTGGGGTGCAGATGATTGGTGGGATATTGTCAGATCTTGTGGTGCAGTGAATATTGTCAGATCTGTGGGGTGCAGATGATTGGTGAGAATATTGTCAGATCTGTGTGGTGCAGATGATTGGTGGGGATATTGTCAGATCTGTGTGGTGCAGGTGATTGGTGGGGATATTGTCAGATCTGTGGGGTGCAGATGATTGGTGAGAATATTGTCAGATCTGTGGGTGCAGATGATTGGTGGGGATATTGTCAGATCCGTGGGGTGCAGGTGATTGGTGGGGATATTGTCAGATCTACGGGGTGCAGATGATTGGTGAGAATATTGTCAGATCTGTGGGGTGCATATGATTGGTGGGGATTATTTTTATTATACAGGATTTATGGCGCCAACAGTTTGCTCAGCGCTTTACAATATAACGGGAGACAATACGCAACAATACAGTTCAATACAAGAGGGATAGGAGGGCCCTGATCCTTGGAGCTTACAATCTAGAATATTGTCAGGTCTGTGGGGTGCAGATGATTGAACCCCATAGATCTGACAATATCCCCACCAGACGATTGGTGGGGATATTGTCTTTTCTATGTATAGGCTTTTATCTGAACATAAACACGAGAGTTTAATTGAAAAATGTCTTTCTGATGTACGTTCTCTGTTCCCTCAGGGTTGGTTCACCACGACTCTTCTTCCCACCTGCCTCGTGACCAAAATGGCTTTAAAATCGAACAAAGGGATACGGGCTCGGTTTCTGAGAGGGCCAAGACCGACTAGAAACTAGTTCAACAAAGTATTTTACCGCTCGATCGCAACTTGCCTTCTACCAGTCATATAGAATGTAAAGGGCTTTCAGTGTGAATAGGGATCATTTGAAGACCCATAAATGAATCCCTAACCTCTCTAGTTTCTTGAACTCTCCTTTTGCTTTAGTAGATTTCAATCTCCTTCTGCGGGTAGATTATCTTCAGCTCCACTAAGTATCTCTGCATATCAGCTTTATGACTTTCTTTACCTTCCAATCGTACACGAGCTCACTCTGATTAGGGCTTATAACTGAGATTGATTAATAAATGCCTGAATTAAGAAATTAATAAACTTCTTCAATATGCCACCTATATGTCATGTTTAAAAACACTCTTGAATGATCTCATCGATAACGAGGCCACCATAATCATTTACATAAGTGTTAACGTGACTGACTTAAACTGGATTTAATCCGTTAATTCAGTCTCTGTTGACGTCTATCAAGCATGATACTCCACAGGAATCACCGTGCTTGGTGAAAACCTTTGCTTGAAAATCCCTTTGCAGCAATGATGTTGCTTTACTATTTGCTGTGCAGCAATTTGGCAGACGCCTTAAAGGGGGACTTGCAGTAAAATGAAGGCTCTGTCCACATTATCGTGTAGCAGGAACGAGCATTCCCGCTACACGGTTTTGAAAGGAGATTTTCCAGCGATTCTGCATGTCGCATAGGGCTGCCCACGCTTTTGAATGGGCTACCCTGTGCGCATATGCCATCCAATAAGAAGCTTCTGTTGCTTTCTTCGGCAACCAGCTTCACACGATTTAGAAGGGTTTGGTTTGCCGCACGACAATCGCGGTAGTCTCATTGCGTTTGGGGTGCCATTGAAGGATATGACACCCAAACACGCGCAGTGCATTGTGCTGCAATTGCCACGCAATTTGGGATCATGGATTCTGCTCACAATCCCAAATCGTGAGATGGGAACGGGGCCTCAAGGTCTGCTTTACACTCTCATGGCTCCCTCCCCTTTCACAAATCGCTTAGTATTCACTTAGTATTCGTATATGTAAAATGTACCTGGAAAAAAAGTTAGGATTTATGCGTTCCTCACCCTCCTCTCCCAACCCACAGTGAGGGTGACGTCACACTCAGGGGCGGACTGACAACTCATGGGCCCCCGGGCAATCGGGGATCATGGGGCCCCTGTGTCCTTGCCCAAACTCCAAAAAAGCCTATGAAAAAGGTACCAGGGGCATCTCATGGGGCCCCCTACTGACCCCGGGCCCTCGGGCAGTGCCCGAGTTTCCAAATGTTCAGTCCACCCCTGGTCACACTCCTTCTGGCTAGATCCTGGGGAATGCAGAGCATTCCAAAATCTCACAAGAACATGCTCTTGTAATGGATTGGAGGGACTTCTCACCAGAATCTGCTTGCTCTGCATTCAGTAGGAATTTTCCCAAAAGCACAGTGACTTTATTCCCAGCAATGCAGAAGATGGTGGAAAGGAAATATAAATCTTTTTTTTTTTTTTTTCCTCAACCGTAGATGATTAGTAAAGGGGTAATTTGAGCAGGCCTTACATTTCACTGCATGGACTGCTTTAACCATAGCAGCCACACTTCCCAGGGAAAACAGGCGCATTGAGATTATACCTAAAATTTTGTTTTCATACCTTCTAACTATATAACTACTTTCATAACTATAGTACACAAATGGCCGGAGCATTGCTGAAGATACTGTATGTCTACTGATGAATGTATACGTGCTGCTGGACACACTTATCAGGCTTTTCATATTCACACTGGCTTTGCTTTTGGAGCACCTTGAAAAAACGAGGCTAAACCCAGCCAAACCATTCGCTGCATCTTATGGCATGGAGTTAAATCTAAAATACAGTGTGATTCGTATATAAAGATCCCTGGATGTCATTTAAGTTTTGTACATACAGGATTTAGTATGTGAAAGAGCAAAGTGTACAGCATGCTTTTACGTAGTATTGCAAAGCTTACAGAAGGTTCCTTCATGCCCCCTTTAACCCCCGGTTCATATATATGCGGTCCATGTTTTGCGCTGGCACGAGACCCTATTCATTTGAATGGACTCCCGTGCCCCGCGACATGCAGGGATGAAGTCCCTGCACTTCTTCTGAAAACGCAGCCCACGCGGGAACCTCCGTTCCCAGTACGGTTGCGTTTTCTAGTGCTGGCGGCATGCCTTTAGAACTAATGTCACCCACCCGCAGGTCTGCTTTCTCTGTGCAGACAGTGGCTGTACGGATTTTCGTGCGGATCCGCAGCGGCACCACCCGTACATGTACATGTGTGAACCAGGGCTAATTGCAGAAAGAGGTGGTTAAAGGGGAAGTACAGGATTATAAAAACAAACCAAAAAAAAGCTACATATTCACCTGCATGCTGCAGCATTGGTGTGAAGCTGCAGCTGTTCCCAACTGTCTCAAAACCCCAGAACTGAGCATATGATGACCACTGATCACTCAGTTCTAGGTCAGCCCTGGGCAGAGAGTGGTGACTGTCAGTCTGCCCCTCACAGGAGAGGGGGCCAGCACTGCAGGCTTCAGCTTTTGAGAGGCGGAGCCACCTGTCCATCAGGCAACTGGGTGGATCCTGACAATATGATCAGGATCCTTCCAGAGCCTTGATCAGCTCTGTGACATCAGCCGGCAGTGGACTTTAGTCTGCTGTCAGCTGATTCTGGATCACAGGAAAGCATAAATAATTGCGTTCCTGTGACCCAGAAGAGAAGTATGGTAAAAAAAAAAAAACCGAGCCATTATTTTCAATGGATTTTCATTCGTAAACTGAAAATTACGTTAACCGAGGCGTTCGTAACCCGAGGTACGCCTGTATTATCCTGAACACAGAGCCATTGCAGTGTTGGTGGTCCAGGCTATATATGTATTTCTTGATCATCCATATTTCTGTCCTGACAGGCTGCCTTCGTTTGTCCAAGAACTGTTTTGCATGCTCCTGTAACAGTCCCCCGATTGTGTCTTTTTAACACCATGTCATGATAATGTGTATTTGCACTATACTGTACTATGACTGTTAACCATGGTAAAGGCACCAAGTAGGCTACTGTTCCTGTTTTATTTGTTGTTGGAATGTGAACACAGGTAAACTTGGCTGGGAATAAATTCTACACCTTTTAGTATGTGAGCTCCTCCGAATTGCATCTAAACCAGTCACCTAGTATACCCCAAATCAGGGGCGGACTGACAACTCATGAGACCCCTGGGCAATCGGGGATCATGGGGCCCTTGCGTCCTTGCCCAAACTCAAAAAAGCCTATGAAAAAGGTACCAGGGGCATCTCTTGGGGCCCCCTACTGACCCCGGGCCCTCGGGTAGTGCTCGAGTTTCCAAATGTCAGTCCGCCCCTGCCCCAAATACAGTTCCTTGTTCCATCTCATGTGTCCCCACTCCTCCTCAGTATGCCATAGTAGTTGATAGTTGGGGTGACACAACATGGCTCCTACTGGACTGATTTATATCCAGATGACAAAACAGATTGTGGCTTAAAAGTCAACTCTCTTGCTTATATTCAGCTCTTGCTATTTTTTCAAACTTTAAACCAGTTTCTAAAAGTTCAAGTAGTTTTTCAGTAGATAAGACTTTTTTATGCAAAATTCCTTTTACCTGTCTGCTAGCAGATCTTTTTGTACACAGATCTTTTTGTACACAGATCTTTTTGTACACAGATCTTTTTGTACACATCATGCACAGTGTGATGTACAGGTTCTACAACTGTACAATAAAAGAAAACCTCTGCGCTCTTCAAAAAAACCCCCCCTTAATAAGCCGCCAGCGCCAAAAGACTTGTGATACGAAGTCCAAAATGTCAGTAATAAATAATATTGCAGCCCTAAATCCTCCAGTGACCTGTATACCAAAAAGAAAGGTACCAGCATACAAAACATAACAAAAGAAAAGAATAAACAAATCAAAATATATCATACAGTGCAGTTATAATTAATGTGTGATCCTAAGCATGGCTGCGCAGCATGCTTGATTTTTTTTTAGATTGGTTAATGTGGGCCACAATTTCGACCAATGAACGAGCGCCTCTCGGTCGTAGATGACCGTTCGGTCGATTTTCTTAATCGTGTATTCCCACCTTAAGTTTAGGTAGATATAAAATGAGATCCAAGCTTGTTTTCATTAAAATATTGAACTAGCTTCCTGCAATTCTCTTTGCATGTTTCGGAAAGCAGACGGCAGCACAATGCAGCGGTTAGATGTATGGAATTGCACGGTATTGTGAATCTAAGAAATTCATATTACTGAATGGAGGAGAGGGCACAGAGATGACTTCATCGGCGAGCTTCTGCCCCTTCATTATCCAATCCTGGTCTTGACTGCAGCAAAGAATACTCTTTGGTAAGGACTTGGCTGTGGTTTTTGGCAGGTGTGTCTGGATAAGAAAATCAGAATTAAAAATCTCTTAGCAAGTAGTTCACACCAGTGGTGTCCCGAGGCAGGTGCTGGGGGTTTGGTTCGCACCGGGTGACACCGACCGCATGGGGAGACACCGGACCCGCTCCACAAAAAGGTAAGTTGTAAAGCAAGCCGATGATCCCCGCAGGATGGATCAGATCCATCCTGCGGGGTTCGTTGGCTTTCTTTACAACTTACCTTGTCTTGGAGCGGGTCCGGTGTCACCCCGTATAGGTTGCATGCTGACAATCCTGCGGGGATCGTCAGTATGCAACCTATACGGGGTGACACCGGTGTAAAGGCAAGATGTGTCTCCCATGTAGCTGTCGTCGTCCCCCCCCCCCCCCGAAGCAACTGTGCATGTCCCAGTTTCAGGCACGATCAATCGATGATAGTACTACTGCTATCATCGATTGGTCGTTCCTGAAACCGGGACGTGCAGTTGCTTCAGGGGAGACACATCTTGCCGCTACACCTGGACCCGCTCCAAGAATAGGTAAGTTCTAAAGAAAGCCGACGATCCCCGCAGGATGGATCAGATCTGCGGATTGAGCATAATGGTTCGGAGTCT